TCCCTCCCCTCCCACCCCTAGCAACCAACAAAGTTTCCCTCTCTATATAAACCTTTCCTTGACCCTCCACAACAATGAACTAGTACTATATTTGTCCTTCTATGATTGACTTATTTCACTCAGCATAATGTCCTCCAAGTTCATCCATATTATGCGGTGTTTTGCAGACTCTACGTTATTCTTTAGTGCTGCATAGCATTTCATTACGTGTATGTACCATAATTTGGTCATCCACTCTTCTGCTGATGGGCACATAGATTATTTCCATCTTTTTGCTATTGTAAACAGTGCTGCGATGAACATGGGTGTGCATATATCTGCTCCTGTCCTGGCTCTCACCTCTCTAAGATATATACCTAGTAATGGGGTTGCTGGGTCAAATGGTATCTGCAATTCCAGCTTTCTAAGGAATCACCATATTGCTTTCCACAGTGGTTGTATCAGTTCACAGTCCCACCAGTAGTGCATGAGAGTCCCAATCTCTCCACATCCTTGCCAGCATTTGTTATTTTCTGTCTCGTTGAATCTTGCCATCAGTGCTGGGGTGAGACAGCATCTCTTTGTTGTTTTGATTTGCATTTCTCTGATAGCCAATGATTATGAGCATCTCTTCATGTATTAGCTGGCCACCTGAATATCCTCCTTGGTGAAGTGTCTATTCATGTCTTCTGCCCATTTTTCAATTGGATTGTTAATTCCTTTGGTGTTGAGGCATTGAGAGTTTTCCATAAATCTTAGAGATAAGTCCCTTGCCAGATATGTAATTATCAGCATATATGAATTTGTTGCTGTCATTTTTGTTATGGTGCTTTTTTGTAGTGTTGATTTCTTTGTTACATATAATTTTCTATGCTGAGCTCATTTTGTTTATGAATTGTGTTATCACTTCCTTCATTGCTATTGTTTTAGCATTTGCTGAATATTTATGCTAGTCCTCTTTTTTATTTTGATGTGAAGGTTTATCATTTTTATTTGAGGTTACCTGTGATTTATAGTATTCTTCTCAAGTTTAGACAGTCTGTTCTGTCTTGTAGCTGTCTTGACTTCCCTACCATCTAGAAGTTCTGTAACAACACAGTTTTCCCCCCTCTTTGGTTTGTAATTGTCCTCATTTGTCAATTGATGTCTCCACTTCCCTGTTTACAATCTTGTAGGCTTATTTACTTTGGATACTTCCATAGCTGGGTTGGTTTCTGGGTTATATCATCATGTGTGTTAATGGTCAATTTTTGTTGGCTGTTGTTGCTTCTCTGTCCAAAGGGCTCCCTTTAGCATCTCTTGTAAGGTTGGTCTGGTTTTAACAATTCCCTTAATTTCTGCTTATCTGGAAATGTCCTAATTTCACCATCTTATTTGAGGGACAATTTTGCTGGGTACATAATTCTTGGTTGGAAATTTTTCTTTTTCATGGTTTTCTATATACCATCCCATTGTCTTCTCACCTGCATGGTTTCTGCTGAGAAATCCAAGCTTAGTCCTATTGGTTGCCCCTTGTATGTAACTTCGTTTTTCCTGTGCTACTCTCATGATTCTTTTTTGTCTTTGGTTTTGGTGAGTTTGAAGATGACATGTCTTGGTGATTTTCTCTTAGGGTCTATCCTGTTTGGGGTTCATTGGACTTCCTGAATGGATATATTCTCATCTTTCATCATTCTAGGAAAATTCTCTTCCAACAAATCTTTGACAATTTTCTCTGTGGTTTTATTTGTCTCTTCCTGTTCTGGAATTCCGATTACACATAGGTTATTCCTTCTGATGGTATCCCACAGGAACCTTAGGCTTTCTTCATTTTGTTTTGATCTTTTTTCTGATTTATCCCTTTCCAAAGAAGTGTTCAAGTATTTGCTGCCAATCTCACTAATTCTGTCTTCCATTGATTCATTTCTACTCCTTTGCCCATTCAATGTCTTATCTATTTCTGAAAATTTAGTATTAATCTTCTGGATTTCTGTGTGTAGATTTTGTATCATTTCTAATTTTTCATTTATTTTGTCATTTTGTTCTTGTGTTGTCTTTCAAACTTGTTCTAGGGTTTTCTCTGTGTTTTCTTCAATTTTGTCAGTATTTTCCTTGATCTGTCTCTCAATTTGTTGAAGATACCTAAATATAATTCTTTTGAATTCCTTATCAGGGAGTTCCAATGCTGTGTCTTCCTCTGGGATGTGTTTTGGGTCTGTATCGTGGTCCCTTGTTTCTCCTGCTTTATCTTGCTTCTTTGTGTGGACTGTGATGCTCTGTTGTCTCCCAGGTATTGTGACATTTTTGTGTTTATATTTAATTGGTGATTGTATGTTGGAGTGACTTGCCCATGATTTTCATTTGCTTTATTTTGTTTGTATGTTATCTAGTTGACAGCACTTATACACTTACCACCTGTCTCCTTTCCTGTTGTCAGCCTCTCACCTGTAAAGATTCCAAATGGCTGTGCCCTCAGTCACTTTAAATATCCAAAATGACCACTGCTTGTAAACATTCAAAATGACTGCTCCCTCAGTCACATTAAATATCCAAAATGGCTGCTGTGTGTAAACAATCAAAATGGCTGTGGTCTCTGGACAGCAGGAAGTCAACAGCTCATGTTGTCTCCCTCCTTGCTGTTTTCCTTCCTAGTCATAGGCCACCAGTGCAGTTGTCCCTGTAGCCCTTGGTGACCAGGGCTGATGTTTAGGTCAAATCTCAGGTCCCAATACCACTTGGAAATATTCAGGCTGTTGGTCCCATCAAAGTAGCTGACATTCCACACTTCCAAACATCTCTGTACTCACTGTTTTCATTCATTCAGGTTTTTCCACTACTTGGTGCTTAATCCACTTCTGTATAGTTCCTTTCAAAGCTCAGGGCTCCAGGATTACTTTCTGTACCTCGGTCAATTGGTTTTTCTTTTCTTTGTTGAAGAGGATCCGTGTTGCTTGTCTGCCTATTCCTCCATCTTACTGGAAGTCAACACCATCTGATTTCTTGACTGCTGCTTCCATTTTTGTTGATTGTGAAACCAAGTAATATGAAATCTTTGACAACTTCAGTCTTTCCTCTGTTTATCTTGATGCTGCTTGTTGGTCCAGTTGTGAGACTTTTCATCTTATGTTGAGGGGTAATCCATACTGAACACTACTAGATATTGTTTTCCCTTTTCACTAAGTTTGTATATGCACTGATAGTGTAAAAACAATGGTAGATAAAACTGTTGGAGTCTTGGCACAATCAAAGCAGTGATACTAAATTCACAGGGAAAAACAAAGTCATGCTTCAAAAAATCCTTCTTAAAGTAGCAAGAATTTTTAATGTTATTAATCTCAATCCATGAGTACATATGCTTAAATATGCTGTGTGGTAAAATGAGAAGAACTCATAAAATAACTTCTGTTGCATACTAAAGTATGATGGTATCTGGTGGAAAAGTAATTCCATTGCTAAAGCAGCCTTTTTTTTTTTTTTTTTTCATTCATGGAGCACTATTTTCACTTGACAGAAAAAGTGCCAGACAAACTAGGTTTAATTAGCCTTAGGTACTTAGCAGACATTACCTCAAAAAATCAGCAAAGCAACCCTATCACTTCAAGGAAAACAATCTGAAGGATTCATTGGAATAACAAAATTTGAACTTTTGAGCAAAAATTAAATTTTGGAAAAATTTATATTTACCACCATGAGTGAAATCATTGGTAATATTAGCAAATTTGATTTTTTTAAAAAAAATATTGTATAGTGAAATGAAAGCCTTGGAAACTTTATGGGGCAGTTCTATTCTGTCCCAAAGGACAGAATTGCTATGAGTAGGACTCCACTCAATGGCACTGAGGAGGGGGGATAGCCAAATGTGTCATTGTTTAAAAGATATGCATAACTTAGGGAACCATTGTTTTTCAAATCACCTTGGGTCACTAAAATTATGTATGGGTAACAAGATCCATTCAATGTACACATAGACCAATGGATTTGAATGTAATAGAAAAAAAAAAAAAAAGCATTCATTGATACGCTTGCAGATTCCATATTGCAACTAAGATTTAAAAAATTACCACTTCCAATTTTTGGTGTGGCATCAAAGAAGAACATTCTCAATTATCTGGAAAGACTATTAAAATATTTCACCCTTTTCTATCTACATAGCTGTGTGAGGCTGGATTTTCTTCATAGGCATCAACCAAAACAGCTTACAGCAATGGATTGAATGTGGAAGTAGAAATGAAAACCCAGCTGCCTTCCATTAATCCAGATATTAAAGAGCTTTGGAAAAATGTAAAACCATGACCCTTTTCTCACTAATTATTTTTCTCTAAAATATTTCATAAGTTTTTAAAATTTCTATAGATGAACATTTATTTCCATTTGAAAAAATTTCAATGACATTGTTTATGTGATATTCATTTGTTTTAATCTCATAATCTTATGATTTCTACATCAAAGAGAAGCCCAATATACACCTCTATATATATGCCTTTCCAAAATGGCGTATTACTGCCAAAAGAAAAAAGCACATCTGTCTTGTCCCATTAATGAACACATTTTGTACAATTATCAGACCACAAGTTACTTGTTTAATGGCCTGGGGGAAGAATTGGGGTAGAGAACATTTTCAGTATTAATGTCCTTAAAATATGGCATAATCCCTACATCGGAAGTTTTTTGGGAAAAAAAAAGAAGTATTGCTACAGCAGTGAGAAGACAATCATATCAAGCCTAGATGAAAATGCAGAAAATCAGATATCAATGATCAATTTAAGGTTCCCCAAAAAGAATGCCCTTGGTAAACCCATTGCCATTGAGTCAGATTCAACTCATAGCGACCCTTCTTGGGTTTCTGAGGTGGTACCACTACTGAAGTAGATTGCCCAACCTTCCTTCCAAGGAGTAGCTGGTGGGTTTGAACCACCAGCCTTCTGGTAAGAAGTCAGATGTCTTAGGCACTACACCACCAGAACTCCTGCCCTTAGTAATAAATTACTTTACATGGTCCTTCTAGCCACGGTCTTCTAATTCCAGAAAATCATTGGATTGGAATGTACAAAGAAGGTGTTTGTGGCTTACCCAGCAGATTGGACAGTTTTGATAATCCAAATAAGGTACATGGAACATTTATGAGGGTGGGACCATGCAAAAAAGGTACATGGAACCCTTGTAGATGATTGGTCAGTTTTGCCATCCTGCTAGGTTTAAAGGGAGTCAATCCAAGGGGAGGGAGACTTCACTGTCATCAAGAGGAGAAGCCAAGAGCAGGGTGCATCCTCTGGACCCAGGGTCCTTGTGCTGAGAATCTCCTAGACCAAAGGAATCAAATAGAGCTGTAACATGGGAGACAGTGTGAGATGTCAAGAAGCAGTGACAAACATGTTGAGTCCAGCAGCGTGGAAACAATGGCACAAGAACAAGGAGAACAAGATTATGTTTTTTGTGGTAGCATGTAATGGGTTTTATGATTATTTCTAAATAAATTAATAAATATATATTTTTTAATTTCTTAGATTCTTGAGATCAGTACTTTGAGAACCAGTGGTCAAGATAAGCATCATTTTTCTGACTATCCCACAGCTCCTTAGCTAGGGTTTCAGCCTAGGTGTCATCATTTATCCCAAGTAGAAGTGTGCTGCATAATTAGCATGAGATTTGCGGTGCTGTTTTTTTTTTTTTTTTTTCCTTGCACTAGGGAGATAATTGTACCATTCATCATGGGAGAGTGGAAGAGGTGGCCAGGCTCTCAAAGGCTGTGGCCATGCTGGATGTAATAGGCAACTTCCCTGCATTGCACCTGGGTCAACCAGTCTTTGATGTTGCTGCAGCAGCTGTGGTATTGTGGAAAGATGCTAAGACTTGGAGCCAGACAGATCTGGGGCTTGTCCAATGCTTCCTGAGTGATATTGGCCAAGCTTTTTAACCTTTGAGGGGGCAGTCTGGGGTAGTAGAGAGAACATGGCCTTGGAGACAGGCCAGTTTCTACCTTCTTCCTATGTTACCTTAGGCAAAATTCTCAATCTCTGATTTCTATTTTCTGACTTGTAAAATGAGGAGTCAGCGGCATGAGGAAGAGTAGGAAATGGGCTTTGCATCATCATGTGGACTAGGAAGAAAAGCCTGATGATACATTTCTGAAAATTAGCCAGTGAAAACCTATGGATCACAATAGAACATTGTCTAACTCAACTTGCTTTGTACATTTCATCAGGGGAGATCAATTGCTAGGAGAGGATATTATATTTGGTGAAGTAGAGGGCCAATGAGGGTGAGAGAGGCCCTTGCTGACATGGATGGACACAACTTGTTCAAAGTTTGTCTCTAATACACTTGGTTTATGGTTTCAGAGTTTTGTTAGTTTCCATGAATCTCAGTTTTCTTATGTAAAATATAGGCCTAATACTATTTACCTCCTAGGATTGTTGTAGTGGTTAAAGGATAATCCATACAATATCCTAGCATGTAATAATAAAACCCAGTTATTAATAAATACTTCATAAATGTAAAGATATTTTTAAGCACTTTATGGGTTTATTATTGTTATTTATAAATAAATAAATATTCTAAAATTTTTCTCAGTTTTGATTTTGAATTCATGAACTTATGAAATTTCTTTGACGTCCTCATTGATGTGTAAGAGTATAACTATTTTTTTTAAAAAAACAACAAAACTAAACTAAACCAGTTGCCATCGAGTCATTTCTGAGTCATGGCGACCCCAAATATGTCAGAGTAGAACCGTGCTCCATAAGGTTTTCAATTGTTTTTTTTTGGAACTAGACCATCAGGCCTTGATTTTTTTTTTTTTTTTTTTTTTTTTCAAGATTTAGACTTTCAGACTTTTCTTTTAAGTTATCTCTTTGTAGCCTCGGACCTCTAACCTTTAAGTTAGCAGCCAAGCACATTAACTGTTTGTACCACCCAAGGATTATACTTCACTAGGTAATGTTATTATTAGCATAATTTTACAGATGGGAAAGATGTGGCACAGAGACATTAAGTAACTTGTTCAAGTTTTCAAAACCAGCAAGTGGTTAAGATTCAAAATCAGTCCTCTGACTTTAGATCCCACTGAGCTTTCTATTACTCTGGCTATTCAAAAGATGTTAGTTCTCCTCGGTACCTGTCTCATTAAAATTAGAATAATTTGATCCTCAAGGGATTGATAGAGGTTTAAAGAGATAATTATGTAACCCTCCAATATGCTGCCTGCATTAGTAGAAATAAAATGAATGTGCATGATCAAACTGTTGATACCATCCATAATTATTCCTCATTTCTTACAAACTATAATTTTACTGGAAGGAGAATATCCATAGCTTTCTTTTTGTGCCTAAATTTTGAACATCAGAATCGAATGGAAGTCTTTCCTCTGTTTAGGAGAGTAAGCCGGGCAGACCAAGTCCCCACCCCAACAGCAGTTAGCTGCCAGCTGAGCAGCTGGTCAGAGTGGACAGAATGTTTTCCATGCCAGGACCATAAGGTAAGATATTTATGGTCATTATTTGACATTTTATATTTTATTTGTGTACTAAGCATTCAAATGGTGAGGAATGTTGGGTTTATAAGTTTAGACAGTTTGTCTCACTCTGGCAGCTTGCATATTGCTGGAATGCTAGAAACTATATAAAACACCAGCAAGGTCACCCATGGTGGACGGCTTTCAGTGGAGCTTCCAGATGAAGACAGACTAAGAAGAAAGGCTGGCAATCTACTTCTGAAAATTACCCAATGAAAACCTTATAGATCACAGAGAACACTGTCAGGAGAGATCAATCTCTGGAGAAGGACATTATGTTTGGTGAAGCAGAGGGCCAGTGAGGGGGAGGGGGAAATAGCTTGACACAATAGCCACATGATCATCTTGAACATGCTGGCAATCATGAGGATGATGCAGGCTGGGGAAATATTTTGTTCTGTTATATACAAGGTCACCATGAATTGGAGTTGACTCCAATGCAGATTGACTATCTATCTATCTATCTATCTACCTACCTACCTACCTATTTATCCATCCATCCATCCATCTTATACATATATAAGTCTGCAGAGAAATTGGCCTACAAATAAGTATTTGGAAGTCATGGGCACATGGACAGTGGAACTTCTTTCTACCTCTTCTCATTCTGTTTGTGAGGGATTGTTCGGTGAGGCTACAAAAGATGTGCAGAAAAATGGTCTTCTAGATATGGGCATATTTATCTCTAATGGCTTCTCTGGGTCCTGGCCAATCTGCTGTCCTCTAATTAGAGCCATCCAGAGAAGACTAATGACTTAGTAAGAAAATGCAAAGCTGTCTATGACCTGTTTGATGGGTTGTTCAAAACCATAAACCAGAAAATGGTTTCTCCTTTCATGGACTGAAAAGGAAGCCATATCCAGTGGACAAAGGTGAATTTTTACCCAGCAAATTGGGTTCTCAATTAACAATTTCCACAGAAATTATTCAGTGATATTGGTTACATTTTTCACAATATGTCATCATTCTCATTCATTTCATTCTTTTTGTACTATGTCCAGTACTCTAGTTCCTCTGCTCATTTTTGCCTTAGTGTAATTTTTGACCATTTGGTCTTACATAGATGATTTTTCAAAGGTGCTTATTACTCACAGGTGATATTCTTTATTTTATGAGCCAACCTGTTATTTAGCTAAAACCTAAGTGGTTTTGAGTGGTCCAAAATGGTCCCTAAACCCAATGGCATCCTAAGAGAAGGAGACAGTGGAAACACGCCACTCTGGTGGAGAGAAGTATTTAATCACTGACTTTGTTTAGAGTTGCTGACTCATGGTGATAATAAAAAGCATATCAGGCTTTTATTCTATTTTATTACTCTTTTATGATTCTCTACAGATAATACATGCTCTCATTGGATGCACTCTGAGTGAGATGCACCCAGGTACCCCCTGCCCCCAGTCCACTTGCTATATACCAGAGCCTAAACCTTGGCTGTTGGTGCATTCCTGTCAAGTCCAAATATTTGAGCTCAGACTCCACAGTCTTTGCTCCTTATTCACTGTGTTACTTTGGATATTTTTAAATACTCCCCATGCCTGAGTTTCCTCATCTCCAAAAGGAACATAGTAATGGTGCCTAACTCACAGAGTTATTGTAACCACTAAATGAGTAATTCATGCAAAGCACTTTTCATGGCATCTGGCACATAGTAAATGTTCAATAAATGTTAGCTAACCAGCTAACATTTCTAATATTCCCTATCTGTACCTTCCTTTCCAGCACTACTCCTGTTGTCTTAGACCAAGCCCTACTCTTCTCCCACCTGGGCCCTTGCAGAGTCTGCTGGTGGTTGTCCTCCCTCCAGACCCACCCTCAGGGAGACAGAGATGTGTTCTGGAATGTTGGATGAGTTGTTCAAAATCATAGCACTAGCAGGTGATAGAAGCACAAATTGAACTGAGTTATTGAGTGTTAGAGCCTTATGTTATTATTAAGCTTCCCCCAATCTCTGAAAAATGCCAAAGAATCCTAGAATGCCCTGTTTAAAAGTATCTGACCCCCAAACTCTCATTTTGCTCTGACATCCTGAATTAGTTTCCTGAAACTACTGTAACACATTACCACAAACTGGATGGATTAAACAACAAAAATTTATTTTCTCACAGTCTGGGGGCCAGCAGTCTGAAATCAAGGTGGGGATGGGGTCATACTCTCTCAGGAGGCTCAAGGGGAGAATTTGTTCTTTGTCTTCTTTTCAGTTTCTGGTGACTGCGGGCATTCCTTGGCTTGTGGCCCGGTCGTCCATTCTGTACCTCCACCGTCACTTTGCTTCCTCCTTTTCTGCAGTTTAGGATGTGTAATAGTTGAACAATGAGCACCTACACATCCTAAAATACATTTTTCTCCTGAATTACAGTTTAGATAGCAGATAGCACAGGTGAATGACATACAGCTTAAGCCACAATTGAACTACTTCTTTAGTAACTCAAAAAGGCATATGTTTATTGAAAGGAATATTTTCAATAATTAAAATTTGTTAATTATTTAAGTGAGAGGCCACACTAGTCTCATTTTTCTTAATGTATTTCTCCTACTTGCAATCATCAAGAAATGTGCATTTCTGCAAAGAAACATTATCTACTAGCTAGAAAAGAAAATTATGTCTCAATGACACCAACCACAGGCAATAGCTCAGATAAGTCCCTAGGGTATGTCTGTACAAACCTTTCTACAATACAGTATCTTCATTATCTGCTACAAACCTGGAAAACAGGGAGTCAATGGGAATGAACCTCATGTCCTGCACAATCATTCCAAGTATAGGAACCACAAGAAGACTAACACTGGTATTAGTAGTCACCATTCATTAAATTATATCTATGTACCATGAACTGTGCTAACATTTTAAGTGAAATATCTCGTTTGACTTTCATAGTTAACCCTATGGGACATTTATTATCATCCTCATTTCATAACAAAACTACGGCTTTGGGGCAGTGAAATAGCTTTTGTCATTCCTTAAGAGAATGATAAAGCCAAGATTTAAAATATGGTTAATCTGACTTCCGGAAAAAAACCTTATGGCCTAACCACTCTGCTATCTCCCCCTGAACTATACAAACCAAAAAACCAAAAAATCAAAAAACCAAAAAAACCAAACTCACTGCCATCAAGTCGGATCTGACTCATAGCTATCCCTCCTTGTGTTTCTGAGGTGAATCTCTACAGAAGTAGATTACCCCATCTTCCTTCCAAGGAGTGGCTGGTGGGTTTTAACTGCCAGCCTTCTGGTTAGCAGTCAAGTACCTTAGGCACTATGCTACCAGAGCTCCTCCCTAAACTATACTGGGGAGTAAAAAGTGACATCAGTGGTCTTCTATTCTCAATTCCAACTCAGTCATAAATCAGGCAGTACAGCAACAGCTGCCTACAGAAATGATGATGATGTTGATAACTATTATCATTAAGTTGTTGTGGTTGTTGTTATTTGCCATCGAGTCGGCCCCGACTCATAGCGACCCCTCCTTGGGTTTCCGAGGCAGTATCACTACGGAAGTAGGAATGCCCAACCTTCCTTCCGAGGAGTGGCTGGTGGGTTTGAACCTCCAGCCTTCTGGTTAGCAGTCAAGTGCCTTAGGCACTATGCTAAAAAACAGGTGTAGTATCAATTTCTTTACATGTATTATTACTAATCTTCACATTAATAGATATATTCCCACTTTGCAGATGAGAAAACCAAGGGTCAGAGAAGTGAAGTAAATTAAGCCAGTGACACATATACAATAAATAGCAGAACTGGAATTCTAATCCAGTTTAAAAAGGGAATCCTAATAACACTTAACATCATCAACCTGTGAGATTTAAATGAGATGAAGAATGTAAAGTGTCTGGCCAATAGTAAGCACTTGATACATGGTAGCTACCATTGCCATTATCGTGTTGGTAGCTGCAGGTTTTAAACATCTGATGAACTTTTTCAAGAGTGAAAAAGAGAATCAGGTCTATGATGATACACTGATCACCCCTTTATTTACTGTACTGTGGGGCAGGAGTGTGGGTGGAACATTAAAAAGCCCTGCTAGTCCCTAATTGGTCATTAGTTACAACGTCTTCTCAAAAAGCTACAAAATTCTTACCACTGTTACTAACTGAAAGGCAGGGAAGGTAAATGGGAAGGTTTGATCCTCACCTCTCCTTGCCACCACCCCTTGGCAAACGAGCAGTGAAGCAGGCAGAGGGGGGCAAGAGGAGAGGAGAAGGTTGTGTTTCTCCACAGCTCATCCACGAAATCATGTGGAAAAGACTGCACTGATAGGGTAGTCATGCAAAAACCACTTCTGTTCATTGAGCACCAATGATATTCCAGGCACAAGGCTAGATGTTTCCTCATATATTCTCTCATTTAGTCCTCACAAAACCCTGTCAAGGTTAAGTGTTATTACACCTATGTTACATATTAGAAGACTGAAACTCACAAAAGGTACATGACTTGCTTATGGTCAGTTGATAAGTGCATTTGGGATCTGGGATCTAGCATCTGAACCCAAGTATAATTCTCATGCACATATTCTTTCTTTTTTCATGCACATATTCTTTGACTGTAGCACACAGATGAAAGAATCATTAATATTTGTGATTAATGAAGTCATCTAGGTCATCTCACACTACAGATTTGGAAGCTGAGGCACAAAATAATGAAGTGTCTTCTTGACATTACACACCAGTTCCATCGATTCTGACTCATGGTGACCTATGTGTGCCAGAAGAGAACTGTACTTCACAAGGTTTACAGTGGCTGATTTTTGGAAGTAGATCTCCAGGTAGTCTTCTGAGAGACCTCTGGGTGGACTTGAACCTCCAATCTTTGGGTAGTAGCTGAGCATCTTAAGCATTAGTACCACCTGACTCCTGACATTATATAATAAGCAAGAAATGGATGTGGGTCAGGAACTCACTTCTCTTGACCCTCAAATCCTTGCTTTCTTACTTACCATAAACCTTCTTGAAGAAAGGGACTGTGGATGGACCAAGGCAAGAGACAGCAGAAAATTTGGGACTACATGGTCCATTACGGGACACCTGTGTCGATGCTATCTCTACAGTATAATTTGTATTGTTATATTTCTTTATATAACAGATGGCACCTAACAACAACAACAACATATTTCTTTATGGGCATATTTTATCTCCTCCATTAGACTGTAAACTTCTTGAAGGCAAGGATGGAAGTTTGTATGTCTGAATAGCCTAGTCTTCAACTACTTCATTATACACTAGGGCTTGATAATATACACTACATAAAAACATAGAGCTCAAGATTTGTCTGTATTTTTATTCCTTCCTATCTTCAAAAGTATTTATACATCTGTAGTCAAGGATGGACCCAGGGACTCAGATGATGTCTTCAGAGCTCTCTTTATCTCTCTCTCTCAGGTCATCTCTTTCTACATAGTAGGCAAGATGACAGCAGGATGGCTGGAATTCCCAGCAACTCCAGTACAGAGATACTGCTTTTTCTGATAGTTCTGAGGGAAATTCCCCAGAGAGAACTGTGAATGGCCTGGCTTGGATCATGTACCAGTCCTGGCACCAATCATTGCATCTCGTGAGGTTCTCTGACTGGCCAGGCCTGGTTAATAACCACACAGCTTTATTACTGAGGGGTTGTGGTCAGCCCCACCTGAATCACATGAGAATGTCAAAGAAGAGGGATGCAATGACCAGAAGAGAGACTGTGAAGTCAGAGCAACAACTGTCTTCTTGAAGTGCCTCTTGTGTACTGACCAAAGGTCAAATGGCAAGCATCTGAGGCCCAATAAGATATTATTCTTCACTCCACTGCCATTCTCAAATTACTACAGACTAGGGGGAGAGATAAGACATACAGGAAAGTGATTAAGCACAGCCTCAAATGACAAGTGCTGAAGAGAGAGGAGAACAGAGACCTGCAGAAGCACAGAGGATGTCACTTTCTTAGTTAGGGAAAGCTTTCTGGAGAAGGTAAACCAGGAATCTTGAAAGATGGTAACTAGTTAAAAAGCATGTGTGGGTGTTTGGTGGGGGAGGGATGGAGGTCCTGCCTGGCAGATAGCAAGACCCTAGAAATAATTGGTGAAAACCGTTCATTTGATGCTTGAAGGCTCTACGCAGTATTCCAGCTGGTGATTGTGCCACCTCTGTTTGAACATCACCATTTATGAGCACTCATCCCCTCAAAAGACAGCTTTGCAGGCAGTTTTCAATCATGAGACAGTTATTCCTTATGTTGAGCTGAGACCTGCCTGTGCAAATCTTGGTTGATTGATTGACAATCATGTGTCTGTTTAAAATCTGATTTAGTACCGATACCGGAGCCTCCTGCAGCCAAGCAAGTTTGGAGGAGCCATCTGCAGTGGTGATGTCTGGGATCAAGCCAGCTGTCACAGTCCCACACCTTGTCTAAGGCAAGCACAGTGCGGACAGGATTTCCAGTGTAAGGAGACAGGTGAGTAGCAATTCAGCAGGATAAGAGCTGTGGCTGTCAAGTTTAAAGTGCAAAACATTTACCAAAGGAGCTTGTAAAAATGCTGACTCCTGAGCCCTTTCCCTTAGAACTTGTCATTTAGTGAGTTTCGGGTAGGGCCCTGGAATCTGTATTTGAATCCAGACTCCCAGGTAATTTTGATGGACATTTGTAATAATGTACAATTCACTCATTCATCTATTAATTTATCAAATATCATTGGGCATGTATTATGTGCCAGGCAGCATGCTACCTGATCGTAATGGAGAGATGAAAAAATAAAGTGCCTGACCTTGAGGCACTGCTAGTCTGTTTAGGAGAGAGTCCTGTTGTTGTGTGCTGTCTAGTTGGTTCCAACTAACATCAAACCCACAGAGCTTTCTAGGCTGAAATCTTTACAGAAATGGATCGCCAGGTCTTTTCTGCCACAGAGTTACTGGGTAGGTTTGAACTGCTCACTTTTTGATTAGCATCTGGCCACTTAACCATTGTGCCACAAGGGCTCCGAGGAGAGAGTCCTGCTAAGAGTCAAGTACAATATTGTGTGATAACAGTTGTAATTGGCCTGCGTAGATGGTTCTTGGGACTCTAGTAGAAGGTAGCCAGGCTGCTCTGAAAAGTCAGCATAGGCTTCAGAAAAGTACTTGAACTGCAACTTGAAAAATGAAGATAAGAGGCTTCAGGGAAATAGGGAGAAAGAATGAGTAAAATGTGGAGATTCAGGGACTAGCAATTGGCCAGAATAATTTCAGTGTCAGGACTTGAGGAGAGAGGCAGGTGATGGGGCCACTGAGACCTCACCAGGGGCCAGGTGAAAAATACCCTTTGTGCCAAACTATGGCATTTGGAAGAAGAGCAATGGGGAGCCACTGGATGATACATGTCAAGCAGTGTGACATGGCCAGACTGGCATTTTAGAAAGACCACTGGGCTGCAATGGAGGCTGCAATAGAGAGGGAGAGAGGGGGTATGGCACTTTGCTGGAAGGCTGCAGGTGGGAGATAAGGAGGCTGGAAGGAAGGCAGGAACAGTGAGGATGGAGAGAAGATGCAAAAGATTTAAGGGCAATTTCAGGGCCTGACTGATGGGCAAGAGTTGGTGACTATGGATGTGGATCATGAGAGAGAAGGAAGAGTCCAGGGAGGGGCTAGAAGCATTCACAGCATCTCTCTCTGTCTCTCTCTCTCTCTCAGGTCGCTGCCTGAAACGTCACCTTTTGTGTAATGGAGACAGGGACTGTCTTGATGGCTCTGATGAGGATGACTGTGAAGATGTTAGGGTCATTGACAATGACTGCAGCCAGTATGATCCGATTCCAGGATCAGAAAGGGCAGCCTTGGGGTGAGTCATTGCCTTCTGACTGCTCAGGGGCAGGGAGTGACTTATGATGGTTAGTTCTGGGGATAGAAGGAGGCCTTTCTGTGAGGCCGCTCGCACTGTTCCCCTCAGGTGGCTGCTCAGCCCGGCCCAGGTGACTCTGCTCATGCTTTCCCTCTACATCTCCTCCTGGAGAGTACTCTTCTCCCTTCACTCTGTCACACTCTTCTGATCACCTCCTCTCATCCTGCTTCCATTTCCAATGCCCATTTAAGAAGCCGTATGGTCTATGAGGGAGCTCTGGTAGCATAGTGGCTAAGACACTTGCCTGCTCACCAGAAGGCTGGTGGTTCAAACCCACCAGCCACTCCTCAGAAGGAAGGTTGGGCAATCCTACTTCTGTAGTGATACTGCCTCAGAAACCCAAGGAGGGGTTGCTATGAGTCAGGGCTGACTTGACGGCACATAACAACAACAACAACAATGGTCTATGAAGCCTTCTGTGACCCAAGTTCACTTTCCAGTAGACCTGCTCACATTCTGTTCTGCACTATAGCTTGTTAACCATGGCTAACAGTGGGATGGAATCCCTGAGTGGTGCCTTGGAAGAGAGGTCTGGTGATCTACTCCTGAAGAACCACTAATTGAAAACCTATGGGGCAGAGTTCAACTCTGACACATATGGACTTGCCATGGGTTGGCATTGACTCATCAGTTCCTGAGAATGGTAGCAGTGTGATACAGCATAATGAAAATAGGCTTTGGAGTGAGACAAAGAGGGGTTTGAGCCCCTACTTTGCCACTACTTAAACCTCCCAGTTCAGTATATGGAGGTCAAATCAAATTCTAACATCTCTTCACCACATACCTCAGGTTTGAGGCCAGTGCCTTGGATGTACCATTTTCTTTTGCTTATGAGCCTTAATAAATTTAGTTTCTTCTTTCTGGAAGATTCTTTCTCATCTTCATAACCTGCCATCACCTGCTCCAGGACGTCTTCTCAATGCATACCTCCCTTGAACCTGTCTAGGTTGACTTAGTCCATTCCTGTTGCTCCCAGAGCCCTCTGTGTGTCCTACTGTTGTTGTTGTTATGTGCCATTGAGTCGGACCCAACTCATAGTGACCCCTCCTTGGGTTTCCAAGGCAGTATCACTATGGAGGTAGATTGCCCTATCTTCCTTCCGAGGAGTGGCTGGTGGGTTTGAACTGCCAGCCTTCTGGTTAGCAGTCAAGTGCTTTAGGCACTATGCTACCAGAGCTCCCTGTGTGTCCTATTATCTCAGTATTTATCCAGCAGGCTTGGGAGGTCTGTTGAAGTGTCATTCAGCCTAGGCTGAGAGCTTCTCGAGAAATGTGTTTTTTCATCTCTACTACTCTGTACTCATCACAGTTCACGGTGATGTTCTGATGTTGTTAGTTTCCTGCTGCTCTCACTTTGCCTCAGATCTTGTCCTGAACTTGAATGTAAACTCTTTGAAGGCAGAGTCTGCCTCTGATGCATCTTTTACATCCCTTTGGCCTCTATGTCAAAACCTGTCCTCTCAGTGAATATTGATTGAATTGAAACAAATCAATATGACTAGCTGAATCATTATAGATGAGGCAATGGGGAGATTCAGTTATTTTCACAAGAGACCCAGTCTTGTTGCAGCCACTCAGGGTCAGGTGAGGGCACTGTTGAATGCATCTCCCCATCATTATGGTCGAACAGCTCTGAGATCACAGTCCACCTACCAGGCGGGATTGAGTCCTGTAAGTAATGTATCCACACGCATATGGAAAAAACAAAAGGTCAAATTCTGTTTTCTGTCAGACCAATCAAAGGGGATTCTTGTCGATATTGAAAGTTACTGTGAAATGAACAGAGTAGAGGCATGAAATACTGAATTGAGAAATAAACCCCTCCTATGGTGAAAATAACCCAGAATATATTACCTTGCTCTTGTGTGAGTCAACCAGAAACATCCAAATAAATGCACTTCTTGAATTAGTGGCCTTTGCCCAAATTTCTTATTGAAATAGAAGAATGGGCCTCCCTCCACTCTCATCAGTTGACATTTCCACAGTTCTTCTATCCATCTCAAGATCTCAGAAAACTTTATACATTAACTTTTAAAATTTAAGATTTCCCAGATTTTTAATTTTATTATTGTTGGAGAAGTACTACGTGTGTGAGATAAAACTGAAAGTCTCTCTTCACCTTCCTCACTCAGATCCCACCCCATCACTCTTTCTCACTTCCTTCCCTAGAGCTGGTATCTATTAACAGTTGGGTGTAGGAACTCCTAGACTATTTTTTAAAAATGTAACTTGGTGTAAAGTAAGCCTGTGTGCACAAGGATACTTTCCCTGTGTGTAATGTATAATACACACATGTATATTTTACATAGATGTGATCACACTATGGATACTGTCATGTGACTTGCTTTTTCAATTGATCTTGAAGATTTACCCCCATATGTTCTTCTCTTTTTTCTAAGCACATAATATTCTATAACAGGTGTCAGCAAATTATGACCTGCAGGAATAATCTGGCTCACTTTCTGGTTTTATAAATAAAGTCTTACTGAAAACAGCTTTTACCCTACAATGGCAGAATTGAGTAGCTACGACAGAGGCTACAGATCTCAAAACCTGACATATTAAGTATCTGGCTCCTTACAGAAAAGTTTGCAGACCCTTCTATATTATGATTATATGATCATTTATAGCGCAGTGCCTAAGGCACTTGACTGCTAACCAGAAGGCTGGCAGTTCCAGCCACTCCTCAGAAGGAAGGTTGGGCGATCTACTTCCATAGTGATACCACCTTGGAAACCCAAGGAGGGGTCGCTATGAGTCAGGCCTGACTCGACGGCACATAACAACAACATTCCCCATGGGAAGATAATTAGGTCTCATATTTTTCCTCTCATAAATAATGCTGTAATGAACATTCTTGTACATATGTATGAATATTTCTGCAAAGTAGATTTCCAAAAAGGGAGTTTCTCTGACTATGCCTTTCTATTTTCACTGTTCTTCAGTAGACAGTTTTTCTAACTATATGTAGGCTTTACTTATGCTTAGAGTTTATAGTACGATCCTTTGAGTTTTTGTTTGGACTATGAAAGAGCTGTGCTTAGGCAGAAATATGTTCAACAGCTAGGAAGGTAGAAACCATACAGTAGAGTAATAGGAAGGTGACCAGATGTGAGTGTCAGAAAAATCATGGAGGAAAAATCCAGCTGTGAATATAGGCAAGTTAGTTTTTCTGAGGTTCAGTTTCTACATTTGCAAAATTGTCATGTAATTGAAATCTAATGTATGTTAAATGTCTGGCAGAGTTTCTATTTAATTAATCGTAGCTATTATTACATCATTTCCACCAATAGGAAGAAATAGAAGGATATAAGAAGAGAATAAGGAAGTTAACATACGTTGAATTCCTACTATATGCCAGGTACTCTATAATTAACCATTTATTCTTTTGAGATAGCCTGTACTCACATTTTATTTCCTGCTCATTTTCTGCCTTTAAGGAACAAGCTATGTCAAGGGTAATCAGTGAATTCCACAGAAATATAGAGGAGGGAACAACTAAGTCTGTCCAGAATAATTAAAGAAAGCCGCACAGTGGAAGCAATTTTTTTAAAAAAATTTTTTATTGTGACTTGGGTGAACTTTTACAGAGCAAGTTCATTTTCCATATAGCATTTCATACACATTTTGTCTCATGACATTGACTGTGATTCCCCACAATGTAACAGCTCTGTTCCCACTTCCTCCCCTTAGTTACCTCTTCCCTACGTGGTTCCCTCCCATGAACTCCCACCCCTCAAGGTGTCTCCCTGTGCAAACACAACCCTTCTGTTCTCCCCTGATCTATAGCTCCAAGGAGTGTATCTGCCTGCTGTGAATATTCACCCAGTATGCCCATCTATTGTTTGGCTGGAAGCCACAGGAGTGAGTTCAATTCCAGACCTGATGGGTGACTAGGGGCCATATTCTCAGGGGTCTCACCAAGTTCAAAGCAAGAAAACCTGTTTTTTTTTTTTAATAATTTTGAGTTTTGTTCCACATTGTTCTCCCATTCTGTCCAGGATCTCCTGTACTGATCCCCCTCTGAGTGGTTGACAGTGGTAGCAGGGCACATCTAGTTCTTCTGTTCTCATAGTCATATAGGCTGAGGATCACATGGTCTACCAGTCCCTTGGACTAACAGTTTCCACTTGTCTGTGTGTTTTTTCATTCTTTTTCACTCTGGATGAGGAGAGACCCATTGTTGCATCTAGATGGCCACTTGCAAGCTTTTAAGATCCCAGAAACTACTCACCAAAGTAGGATGTAGAACAATGTTTTTGTGTAGTATGTTATGCCAATTGAGCTTGATATCCCCTGTGACCATGTTCCCAAGCCCACAGGTCCAACTACTCACTCACTCCAGGTAGCTGGCTGTGGCTAAGAAGCCACCACAACCTTGCCCCTTGTCAGCTCTACTATACACCTAGACATTCTTACAACTCATATAAATACACATGTAGAAACATTGTCTGTTAACTGTATACATGGTTATGGGCACACTACTCCCTCCCTAGATATACCTGATTGTTCAGTCTGTCCATTCATCTATCCACCTGTAGATCAATGTTTGCCATCACTGACAACACAGTACAAAAGGGTTCATCTTTGTCATCTGTACCTCTCATGTACCCCTCTTTGTTGGAAGCAACTTTTGAGTTGGATCTCAAGGGCTAAGGAAAAGTTTGACAGGCAGAGACAAGCAAAAGTTTTATCATGTATAACATACAGGCTCAGATTGTCAGGTTTTGGAATTTTAGCCAACTCTAAATATTTTTGTTCAGTTAACTTTCCCTTTTTAGAAAATTAAAGTTGTATTTCACCAAATGAGTATTATTTTTACTTTTTTTCTGTGGCCTAAAACATAGAACAATGGACAGGTATATTTGATATACCTCAAAGAGGAAAGTATGGGAAAATATTTCTGGGTGGAAATTGGAAAGAAAGTATCTTGTTGAGTGT